AAGAGAAGAGAAGAGAAGAGAAGAGAAAATTAAGCATTTGTTTGTTAATATCATAAGGAATAGCAGAAACAATCTTAGGAGTATCCAGTAAAAGCATCATGCAAAAGCTAAAAAAAATATACTTCTGAACTATCGTTTTATTTCCTTACCTTCCACCTTCGTTACATACAAGTGGCCCACCGCTATCGCCATTACAGCCACTGACAATACTGTTCCCTCCGAATCCTGCACAAACCATAGTGTAGTTGTCCACAAAGTGGAGATGACCGTTGCCTCTAAGGCAGTCAGCAAAGCTCACAATAGGGAGTTGAACCTCTTGTAAGATTCTCGCCGATCCGGATGCGTAAGATGTTCGCCCCCAACCTTGAAATGATTAAAAAGAATTTTAGATCGACGTAAATTATTTGTACTGCTACTGCTACTGCTACTGCTACTGCTACTGCTACTGCTACTGCTTTACCCGTTAAATAGCACATGGTGCCCACGGCTATTCTTTGGTGTGGTGGCGGCAGACAGATTGGTCTGACCGAGCCAGTCATATTCACTTTTCTACTAAGCTTTACGACTGCTATGTCATAACCATATTCTTTGTTGGTCAAAAAATCTTGGTGCAGTCGAACGGCAGTCACGTCAAAAACTTGTTCGCTTGGTTCAGGAAGATACCGGTCGTATTCCCCTGCAAAAACACATTGTATACGTAATATTAATTTTGAGGATAGAACAAAAATGTAATATTAAGGTGTTATTGCTGCTTAGATAGGTGGTAAAGTTATTGTGATTATGCTTCTTCAAGCAAATGTTTTTCCGAGACAAATTTGCTTTTCGAAATTTGCATACGACACTAATGGATGGATGGATGGATGGATGGATGGAGGGATGGAGGGATGGAGGGATGGAGGGATGGAGGGATGGAGGGATGAGTAGATAGATAGAGGGGTAAGTGATGTGACGAAACACAAGAATGGAGAAACATTTGACTTGATGCAAAATCCTTTTAATTTGTAAAAGAAGCTCGATGTGACATACCTAGTTTCACTTTATACATCTGCGGTGAAGGGTTTGCGAAGAGACAGTGTGTTGCCGTGACAACCCATTGATCATTGATGAGTGAGGCTCCACAAAGGTGTCTAAATGAGCCATCTTTAGACTTTTTCAAGAGTTCTGCTTGCCAGGGCCATCTAGCTGCATTGTAACCTCCGATTACGCGAGAAATTTGTCGATTACCACAGCGCCGCCCTTCAAAAAAAGTAAAGCACTTTTTTATTCGATGGTGAAGATGAAATCAGAAGTTTTTATAATTGAAAGAATTACGATTAAGGTCAGTGCAAGCGAACTAATCAAAGGACAATAGCACTGAGTTTTGCACAACTGAAAGCATGTGAAGGCGCCTCTGGCAGCCACTATACATGCAGTCCAAGGATGACCCCGGAGCACAGCTTTAACCATGCAGAAGGGCGCTTTTCGCCGCTTTATAAATTACCTATACTTTTTAAGTTCGAGGGCAAACAAATTATTGTGCGCAAGGAAAAGCTGTAGCTGAAGCGCGATATGCGAAGGCAACGACTTGGATTTTCATGCAGAGAGATGAGGCGGTAAGCCGTGTGGGATGGGCTCGGAAATCATATAAGAACATGCGTAATCGGTAAATTACGAGCCTTGTATGAAACGACTGAAGAAGAGGACCAATGAGCCTTTCATAACTTCAAGTCACGTAAAAAAATGAGCTAGCTCAACTAGAAACCGCGGACAGTGATTTTCAGTCACTCGAGCTTGGCTCGGAGTTGGGAACCGGTTAAAATTATCAACGTCCTTGCGCGAAGCTTTAATTCAAATTCAGTAATACAATTGTAAAATCCTACATACCGGCAACTGTTTGAAGCTCAGCACTTATTGCGATCAACAAGATAAAGGGAAAGATCAGTTTCTTCATACTTCTTCAGGTTTATGTGCATCAACTCGTAATGCATTCACAGTTTTATAGATAAAAAAGCATATTCAGCATCTGTGGTGATCACACGGTTTTTACAGTTGGATATCCATTAGGTACTTGTTTAAGAGATGTAATTAGTTTTAATCGACTGGCAAGATAAATATAGTATGTCGCAGCTTTTAAGTTGTATATACAGTACTTACGCAAAAATTAGCCTCATGTATGTCGTCGTACCAGCCAAAACTCTTGCATAGTCTCAATGAGAGACGCTTTTGTTCGTGGTCAACGCAGGCTGCAATCTTGGACCAACTTAGTCGTTACAAAACTGCAATAATAATAATAACAATAATGATAAAAAATAAAAAAATTAAAGAGTTTAAACCATATGTGAAATAATATAAAAACTAAATAATACTAAACACATCTATTTCTTTTATTTACAACTGTTTCATTGGTGCTATTTTAGACTAGTTAGTACTATTTCACGGATATATCGGTTTGCAGTCTACTTTTTTTTTACATCATAACTTGTACTTGCAAAGTGTTCCCCCTCCCCGTATCGAGAGTGTCGTATCTTAAGGGACTACTAGACAAATAAGTCTCCAGAACAACGTCGCCCAGAGGGGAGCTGGGCTGAAGGAAACAACTGAGAAGTGCCACCGTAGTGCATTGAAAGTCTTTCATGGAAAAGGCAAAGTAACATCGATTTTCTCCAGGAATGTATTTTTTTCTTAAAGAAAATTTTGTACATCTGTAGTAGAAAGATAAATTCCATCGTTAATTCATGCTTTTACGGAACAAATCCAGTAGAGTCTTTGCCAGTAAAATTGATGTTGCCCGAGTGTAAAGTAGAGAAGTAGAGCTACCTTAGTTAATGAACATATTTGCCTAATTCGAAGAGCAACTTGTTTCCATTTTCCATCAAGAGCAACTTGTTTCCTTTGCAACCACAAAAGCTCAGGTAAAGTTACAAAGATTGCTGCCTAATAGAAAAATGAAGCTACTTTTCTTCAAATTTAAAGCTGTTGATACGCTTATTTTCAATCTTGAATAGCCTCGAAAACAACCTTGGGACACCATTTTTTCTTTCCAGATTTGAAATCAGCATTTAATTTGGATTTAAGAAATCAAATTTATAATAAAAAAAGTGATAAAACGTTACGACGTTTTGAAAACATCTTGTCGTGATTATCAAGTCAAGTAAAAACTAAAAGTAAAAAGAGTGAACAAAATAGGCAAACGTAAAAAGAGTAAACATATAAGAAATCGTGATTCAAAAACTTTTTCAAGGATTTTTCTTATAGTCGGCAGCCACAAACATTAAGGACGTTCGCGGGCATTGGTTGCGCGCAGCCTTTCTACGCATGAGTTTAGTGCGCGCGCGCTCATTGTGATGACGTCATTTTAATGTTTTGCTAAGCGAAGTATCAAGAAAACCCATTTCTAACTTTTTTACTGCAAAATCTCAGGAACCAGTTCGGTGACCCCCATTTTTCTTTGTCTTAAAGTAAAGATACTATCAAAATCAATAAAATATGTTAATCTAAAAAAAATTCTGATTGCAAAATAATGATTGACACCAATTTTTGGAAAAATATCCACCTGCACTAAAAGCACTTAAGATTAAATCTTACGTTTTCAAGGGTTAAGTGTTAGCCTTATTAAGGCTATTATCTCATTGAGTTATGGGTGACAGTAATAAGTGTGATAAATCGAATAAATGAGACTACATTTAATGTTTACGAGCAAAATTGGAATTAGATTTCACGAATGGCTTCGCACAAGAAGATTTCACTTTATAGGCCAAATTCAAAACTCGCACCGATGTGAGGCTTAAGTTGTGAACAAAGGGATCTGGCGTGATTCAAAAGTCACGAATCATGCCAGATCCCTTTGTTCACAACTTAAGCCTCACATCGGAGCGAGTTTTGAATTTGGTCTATACAAAACAATTGTGATAATATTTTAACTTTACATTCTCGCATTTCATCAAATATCTTAGAAATTAATTGCAATTATTAACTCAGCAGGCATCTCTGGTTGCCAAAGAGACACGGTGTCGTTTCCTTTAGGCCTCTTAAAGGAGCCATTTAAATTTGTAACCAAAGAACAGCTGTATACACAATCTTCAAGCTTCTTTTATAATAAGAACCCAGTCGTTGCGTGCGTTGAACTATTAAATCGTAACAAAATCTTTTTACACAGACAAGTTCACCCATTTTCATACTTCCATACCCGATCATACCAGCCAGAGGACTGCTGGGTCTTTAGCTTCTGTCGCGATCAAGAAAATATGCATACTCAAACGGAGGCCAAAAACCCAGACCAGACGACTCAAATTTATATGTCTTGGTTACGTAATCATTAAATTGGCTAAATTTGGAGCACTGAATAATATACCAGCTTTTTGAGATAGAGATGCCAAATGACAGGGGAGCGAACAACATCAAAATCAGGAAGGATAACGGAGCCTCAACTAGAAAACTTGTGCCTTCGTTTCAAGGGCGCGCGCTCCATTCTGTTAATTATGACGTCCAAATGATGGTTGGTTGTCTTCAGCACCGCCAACAAATGGACTGCGCGTGTGCATACATAAATTGCTTTACGGGTTCTCGTCTGCATGAAGACACGTACGCATCGTCTATTCTATGATAACCTTATCATGACACGCGTTTCTAGAAACACTGGAGTGCCTTGGTCAGGACAAGGCACGGTACAACCAGACATAAAATTACTAAATATAGGCTTTAATTAATATATATGACAAAACTAGCCAAAATCTGTGATTATATTTCAATAATTTTGAAACTGGTTCCCTATACATCAGATGTTGATACTATAAGTTAGAAATTATACTTGGCGTGCGATTACTCTTCCTGCGCCCTTGGGTAACATTTTCGCGTTATCTTGAACGCAAATTTCAATAGATGCGGCAACGATTGAATCGCTGCATTTAAATATGCCTACACTATTTCATCGTTAGAAAATCTGTCCACATTGGAATAACATATCATACCTCAAAAATACAACGATAAAAGTACGAAAACGATTATGGCATTCAGTAGTATGAAAGCATAAATAAGGGTAACTGATAATAGACCGCTTCGGCTTGGGGTAATGTTTTCCCATTTCACACCACGTCTCATTCCCTTGAGAATAAGATTCTTTGTTTGAGCTGTATCCATATTCATGTGTCTTCTCATGTGCAACCGTTCGCAAACCTTAAACAAAGAAATGTTACTCTAGGGAATGACATGTAGTATGAAATGGGAAAACATTACGTCAGAGCCGAAGAGGTCTATTGGGGCATGTGTCAAGTATTTCGCTGAATGGAGGTTTCAGCTTACGTTAATTTATTAATAGATAGATTATATGGTATGCACTCTATTCACCGGTTAATGTCGCTCAGTAACAAAAATTTGAATTGGGGTTTCGTGAGCAAAGTGCTATGCCGCAGAACGGCGTAGAGTTGCCAAGTTCTTACCCGGCCAATTATGTATTCTGCTCTATTGATAGCGCTAGCCTGTTTATTAGTACCATTATCTTTGCTTCTAGGGAAGGATAAATAGGCTTTTCCATTTAGCAAGCAAAGTTTTCCAATAACCAGTTGCACGAGCTCGAACCTCTAGCACAAAGCATGATGGGAAGCCGAAAACGTACGCTTTTTCAGCTCCTCTAAATATATTCCCTCTGACAACTTTTCCCTCGAAATTTTCTAGGAAATCGTTTTTAACAGTTTTTTTTTTTTTGAAATTTCTATTGATTTCCTTGTTTTGATTTGTGCGATTCTCGGTTTCCCAGAATGCTTTGTGCGAGAGTTTCGTGCTCGTGCACTTTGGCTATTGCAAACGTTTTGGGAATTATATTCTTGCGACCCATATTAAACATATATTTTTCAAAGCGTTAGCAGATTATAAAGACATTATTTACAAGGGAATGTCTGATGTGGCCTGAAATGAGATAAAACAAAGTAAAGGAGCAAACAAGCAGGCGCCCAATGGATAACCAGGGTACTCTCGTTACATGGTCGTTACATTGTGCCTTGGCTGCTTTGGCTGTTATCCCAAAGAATTCCAAAACGAATTCTGGTTGAACAGTCGTTGATTGATTCTGTCCAGGGCCCCAGTGAACTTCTGCGGCCAGAGGTTGAATGCCACTCTGTATCTCATGTTAGTATGACTGATGGTAGACAGCTGGCAAGGCTTATAGCTCCTGTAATGGTCAGGTATACTGAGCTTTCTTTTCTTACGTGGTTTCTCAGTTTTATTAGATTTACTTTTTCTTTTCTGCTTTTCCCCAGTTTTTCCCGCCTTCTTTTTTATGTCGATAGCCTTTTTTTCTAAGTTCACTTTTTGCCTCTTTCTTTTTCGTTTGGGCTTTGGAAGTTCCACGAGTAAATTTTCTGGGCTTTTTACTACGTCATAGTTACCAGCAGCTAGGCGATCACACTTGACAACTAAGTCTTTCAAAGGAACTGGTGATTTGAAACCGTTTAGTGAAGAAATCATATCTGGAGATTTTCCATGTCTTGGGGATGTCTCAGAACTCGCTGTACTATTTCTCCTTTCTTTTCCATCTCTCTCTCTCTTTTTCCACAACGTTGATATTTGAGCATCTTGTACGGGACTACATGGAATAAGGCGAACTGTCCCATCTAATAAACTAGTGTTGGATATCTTTGAACATAATGTTTGATTATGTTCCTGAGGCAACGAATTGTTCTTTGAACTTTTCTTCAGGCGACTAGAAGATTTTTTAAAAAGTTTTTTTCCTTCCAAATTCGTTCTTAATATGTTGGATTTCTCGGTGGAACCGATAGTACCATTACCGGGTCTGTCTGACCTACTTGACCTCTCAATTGAAGAACTTGAATATTTTCTTTGTCCTCTTTCGAATGCTGGCGATCTTGAGGTTTCTAAAGGACTGCATGGAATAGAATAAACCTCTTCTTCTAGGAGTTCATTTTGTCTCTGAGCTAAATTCTTATCTTTTCCATTTAAACTTAATATAGGAAGTCCTCGGTTCCTTGTTAACAGGGAACTCTTAATTGCCTGGAAACCAGGTTCAATCGATAAAGATAGCTTAGAAACTTCTTGTCCCTCTGTAATTTCATTTCCAGTGTTTTCATTTGAAGCAGATCTTTCTAATAACAGAGAACCTCTATCTTTCTTGCCTAAAACAGTGTTTGGAAGTCGCTCACAAACGACTGAAAGACCCTTCAAGGCCGGACAAGCTTTCCTTCCAAAATTTTCTTGACATTCCCTACATCTATCTTCTTTCTTCGAAACCGGCACATCTTCGATTGAGGACGTTGACAACCTAGTTTCTTGAGGCCTTAGAGATATTCTTGTGTCTGTGGTACTTTGCTCGGACGATTTTCGATTCCGAAATTTACATTTTGAAACGTTAATGCTCGTGCTTAGTTCTTTATCTGGGAATAACTCCTTTTTATAAGAACTTAATCGGTCTCGTTGAATAGATTCATTGCTGCTTACAGAATTGGAAGAAAGTTGACGCTTCTCTCCCTGATCCTGTAAGAAGACAGTTTTTTTAGGAAGACTTTCGGCGCCATTTTGTTCGTCGCTTAGTTCAAGCGATTTGATCAGTGGCGAGCTCTCAATTTTAACAGCACTTAGCCATTTTCTTGGCGTTGTAACTAGAGTTTCTCTCACTCGTTCGTCGTCTTCTACTGGGATATGATCAACTGTTAACTGGCTTGTAGAATTTAAGTCACTACCTTCTGAAGATGAACTCTCGATGATTAATAGATCTTGTTGGATAGATCCATTAATGTCATTATTGCTTACAGAATTAGAAAAAAGTCGGCGCTTCTCATCCTGATCCTGTAAGAAGACAGTTGTTTTAGGAAAACTTTCGGCGCCATTTTGTTCGTCGTTTAGTTCAATCGATTCGATCAGTGGCGAGCCCTCAATTTCAAAAGCAGTTAGCCATTTTCTTGGCGTCGTAACCGGAGTTTCTCTTACTTGTTCGTCGTTTTCTTCTACTGGGATTTGCTCTGTTAACTCGCTCGTTGAATTTAAGTCACAACCTTCTGAAGATAAACTTTCGATGATTATTTGGTCTCGTTGAATAGATTCAGAATTGGAAGAAAGTTGGCGCTTCTCTCCCTGATCCTGTAAGAAAACAGTTGTTTTAGGAAGACTTTCGGCGCCATTTTCTTCGTTGTTTAGTTCAAACGATTTGATCAGTGGCGAGCTCTCAATTTCAACAGCAATTAGCCATTTTTTTGGTGTTGTAACTGGAGTTTCTCTCACTTGTTCGTCGTCATCTACTGGGATTTGCTCAAATTTTAACTGGCTAGAATGTAAGTCACTACCTTCTGAAGATGAACTTTCGATGTCAATTAAAACTGGCGTTTGCTCATTCGGGTTTTCTGATCCATGGGCTGTGTCATCCACTATCTTTGGATTAAGGTTGTCTTCTCTCTTTTCAAGTGATTTTTGTTCTTGCATCTCTCTTGACACCTGTAATAATTCGTGTGCCGTCGAGTTAACACAATCGATAGTTCTTTTTCTTACTTCACTTTTTCTGCCTTTGCTTTGCGAAGTTTCTTCCTCGCCTCTTATTTCATTTTGTTCTGCATCAGGTTGGCAAAACAGGTTGCTTTTAGCACTTTCATCAGAAGAATTTAAATCCCCAGTATGATTTAGTGCAGGAACTTCGACAGAATGCATTCTCCTACGCTTTTTGGGTCTACTTCTTTTTTTAGCAGATCTCTTTTCTCCTAACAATTCTGTATCACTTTTAAGGGTCCTTTTTTTACATTTTCTTTCTGGTTCTTCTGTACTCTCTCGCTCTGTTGCTTGGACGCTATTTGCAAGAGGAGATGCACTCTCAAATTCACCACTAAGATTCCTTAAATCCACAGAGTTGGTCAATCCGGAGACTTTTTCTTGCTTTTTAGGTATACCACGTTTTCTTTTCAATCCCTTTTTTCCCGCAGCCCCATTTGCTTTTTCCATTGACGGTTTTCTGCCAGGAGTGGTCCATATCCCGTTTCTCTCAAAAACGGGCGATTCTTCCCTACAGACATCCAGTGTAGATGGAACTTTGTCTACTGGCTTTAAAGGAATGATGATGGTCTGAAGAAGACCGCTGCTTGGATGGGGCCGATGGATGGGAATATCTGGAGTATGTTTAGACACCTTAAAAAGATTCATAAAAGAAAATGATATTAGTGATATAATGTGTCACACAAGGAAAAGGGTAGGGTTCCCTTCACATCCATGGGTCCTCAGAATTATTTTCTGGACTAGGCGTCAAATGTGATAGACGACTTGCACTAACCTTGCTCCCTTAAAACGAGCATGTATGTCAAAATGCACATCAGGGATGAAAAAAGCACTTCGATATTAGTAGGGTGGCGGAGGTTTAGCTCACAACAAGCGAAAAAGGAGAAATGGCATTAAATATAAAATCGAATACTTCATAAGGATTTGTATGGGAAATTATGCTCTTTCCCACCCAGCACATTTCCCCATACAAATCCTTATGAATGTTCGATTTTATATTTAATGCCAATTTATCGTATAGTCAACATTGTGAGCTGAAACTTCTCCCTCTTACTAATGTTGAGATGATCTTTTCATTTCTGAAGTTCGTTTTCACACAACTACTCTTTGTAATGGAGGCAGGGTCACCTGACCTGTTTAGTGCAAGTTGTCTATTAGAGTTAGTTGGATCTCTATTGATTCAGGGTTTTTCACAGTGTTGGCCGGTTTTTCTCCCCCTGATAAACTTAACATACTCAATTTCAATTCGCTCAATTCTACCAAAATACAGGCTTAGATCAGTCGTCAGAGATTGTTTTATGGTTCGATCTGTAAGAGTTAGCCGTGCCCTAAGATCAGCCCAGAGATCGTTCCAGGGATAGATATGTGAGCACCAATCACTGACTTTCATCAGGGTACGGAAAAAATGAACCACAAACTATTAGTAATAGATCTCGTGAGTAACGAGATTAAGAACGCTAGTATTGGCATATGAAAAGGCATGCACACGGTTAAGTTATAGGTATACAAATAAAATCATTCATATTTAGCTTAACCACTCCTTCAACGATTTCTACCTCGCAATTTTGCCGAGCCATGATAGCCTCTACCTCGTTATCACAAGGAACAACCGGATTTCTACATAACAACTTGTCGACTTCGTGTTCAAAGGGCCAAGGTCTGTTGACTTTTGATGATGTGAACCACCCATCTGATTCAATATTTTCGTCATTTGCTGGGCTTTTTGGTGATGGGTACGGGTCTGGGCTGTCACTCCACGGCTCTTTGCTCAGATCTTGATTATCTGCGTCCAGGTCAACTGGAGATAACTGAAGCTGAGTTTGGGTAGCTGGAGTTAACAGTTTGGAATCACGGCTTGTTTTCTCGAGTTCTCTTTCGGGTGTTGCTTCCTGAAACAAAAGAATGGAGCAAAATTTAGATGTCATTTTTTAGAAAAGAAAAATCATGCAATTTTTTGGTTTTCAATTAGTTAATTTGCTCTAAACGGCTATTATTGACATTGTTTGTACTCGCGCCATGACGTAATACAATTGAAGAGTGCGCGCTCAGTACTTCCGCTCAAGAAGTTACGTAATCAGGTTGCGCTGAGCTCTCTTGTTTCAGAGAAAAAGAAGGAACGTTAAAATGAGGTTTACGTCTACAGAGAAAATTTCTGCAAAAGAAGAAAAAACGTATTTGGACATAGGAAGGGAAAAGTGAAAGGTAAGAAGTTGGTGAGAGAAGAAACGAGGGAAGACACAAAAAAATCGATGAAACTCACCGGTGACAATCCATCCCAGGTTGTATTTTCGGCAGGTATTCCGCTCATTAAGCCCGACGACTTGACTAAATTGTAATACTGCTTTTTAGCAATATCTGGCATCTTGGCGGGCATTAGACGGGTTAGCGAAACATAAACACTTGGTAGTGCCTTGGCATTAACCGCTGCTAAAAATAAAACCATTAAATAAGATCCTCAAAGTCTAAAATATCAAAAAATTATATTCCAAATATTTAGTTTCGAACACTAGTTTTAGCTTTCATATCTTCAACAATTTCTGAAAAATTTGGCACGTGAAATGTGTACATAAAATGAACTCTTAGGCATTATTAAATATCAGAAACCTTTCTGGAGCAGTGAAATATCCTGTATAGAACATCATTGTCTTACTCAGGCTATATATAGAGATTACTTCATGGAAAGCGCGCGCGTTAGGGATTTTCGCACGAGTTGGTGAAGTATCTGAAATCGAACGAGTGAGCGAAGCGAACGAGTGAAATTTCAGATACAAAACCAACGAGTGGGAAAATCCCGTACAAAGCTCTTTCCATGCTGTAATTTATTTACTTTATACATACTGAGATTTTGTTGTTTTTATTTATTCACCTTTAATGGGTTCTCTAAAAAAAAATACAAAACTGCTGTATTTTAAAATTCTCCTCCGAAAAGCTAAAAGCTTGCTACATGTAAAAATATCACTATTTAAAT